GATTTGAACCATTTCTTGATTAGTCATGCACGCATCGTATCACTCCCTGTATCACGCCTTTAACTTCGCGAATTATTGGCAACTGATTTTATCCAGAAAATAATTAAGATTGAAATTATTGTATATTATTTAATATATGAAGGGAATTTACGAATTGTTCGAGAAAAACTGTCGCTTGGGTCTCCATCAATAAATTATGGTGTGATCGATATTAGTAGAAAATAATTCTAGCTGGAGCGCAATTCAGCTATGCAATCATGACTGCAAAAGTGTGAACGGAAATCGAAAAGGCGAGCGTGCATGAAGGCGATTTCAATTGTAATCTTCCGTCACATTCTTACGGCGGAATTGTACAACTATTTGAACACTCCAGAATGCGTAAGGTATCACGCCACATTTGAAGGCGTTTTCAAAAACAGCCAAGTTCCGATACCCGGATTATCGTTTTGCATAGTTCATATTATTTTGTTTTCATTTCTAACCACTTGTTTATTCTTAATCCTCGTATAAGAACCTCCCATTTGCTAAATACAATTCTGGCTGGAGCGCAATTCAGCATTGCAATCACCACTGCAAAAATGTAAAAGGAAATCGACAAGCCCAGCGTTCATGCAGGCTATTTCCATTTTAATCTTCTGTCACATTCTTGACGTAATGATACAACTTTTTGAACTCTCCAGAATGCGTGAGGTATCACGCCGCATTTGAAGGCGTTTTCAAAACAGCCAAGTTCCGATACCCGGATTGTCGTTTTGCATAGTTCCTAGCATTGCATAGTTATTCTGTTATATTCCGTAACACTTGTTTTTTGTTAATTCTCGTATAAAAACCACCAATTTGCTAAATACAATTCTAGCTGGAGCGCAATTGAGCTTGTCAATCAACACTGCAAAAATGTCAAAGGAAATCGAAATGGCCAGCGTGCCTGAAGGCTATTTCAATTGTAATCTTCCGTCACATTCTTACGGCACAATGATACAACTACTTGAACTCTCCGGAATGCGTGAGGTATCACGCCGCATCTGAAGGCGTTTTCAAAAACGGCCAAGTTCCGATACCCGGATTATCGTTTTGCATAGTTCATATTATTTTGTTATATTCCGTACCACTTGCTTATTCTTAATCCTCGTATAAAAACCACCCATTTGCTAACAACAATTCTAGCTGCAGCGCAATTCAGCTTTGCAATCACCACTGCAATAATGTCAAAGGAAATCGAAAAGGTCAGCGTGCATGAAGGCTATTAGTCCAGGCGCCTTGTAGCTAAAAATGAGGCTACCTGGAATTTCGGGTACACAGCGATTTTTTGGCCTACTTAATGTTTTTTGGGTCGCTGAATCCGAATCTGAAGTTTCCTACCGCGTACCTGGTGAACATTTTCCGCCGTTTTGAAAGAATGGCCGAAAAAGGCATTTTTTTGCGGGTTTTTCAATACAGCGGCAACGCATGAGCAAAAGTCCCGGATTTAGTTAGTGTTTTGAATATCTGACATAATTTGGAAGGAAATGGTGTATACATATGCTAGGTTTGCTTAAAAATTGAGGAAGATACAGCATCGTGAACATCGCGCCCACTCACGTTTTCGCGACGCACCCGTCAACGCGCGATCCGGCTCGCCGCGGTCAGCCAAGTTCCAAAGCGTTCCGAAGTTCCGAGATCCGAGGTTCCTCAATTCTTGAGCAAACCTAGCATATTTATATACCATTTTCTTCCAAATAATGTCAGCTATTCAAAACATTAACTAAATCCGGGACTTTTTCTCATGCTTAGCCGCTATATTAAAAAAAACCGCAAAAAATGCCTTTTTGGGCCATTTTTTCAAAATGGCGGAAAATGCTCACCAGATACGCGGTAGGAAACTTCAGATTCGGATTCAGCGACCCAAAAAACATAAAGTGAGCCAAAAAATTCGCCGTGTACCCAAAATTCCAGACGGACTTACCAGGCGCCTGGACTATATTTCGTTTCAAAGGAAATCGAAAAGGCCAGCGTGCATGAAGGCTATTTCAATTGTAATCTTCCGTCACATTCTTACGGCGCAATGATACAACTATTTGAACTCTCCGGAATGCGTGAGGTATCACGCCGCATTTGAAGGCGTTTTCAAAAAAAGCCAAGTTCCGATACCCGGATTATCGTTTTGCAAAGTTCATATTATTTTGTTTTCATTTCTAACCACTTGTTTATTCTCAATCCTTGAATAAAAATCACCCATTTGCTAAATACAAAAAATTAGAAGTTACTATACTCTCTGGAAATGAGAGATTCTGTCGCCTTTCCTCGTTTGTAATTTTTTTTTTCTAAATCCAATTTTTCCATACCTACATTTAAAAAAATCGCAAACTTTGCCACCCCCTAAATCCGGCCCTGCCACCGGCCTATAGTCTTTATCTCATGGATCGTATTCGACACATCAAACATTTGATATTGTATCGATGTCGATTGGTTCAACATGTAAACATAGCCTTAAAAGTTAATTGAAATATTTTAGGGAACGGATTTCTTATGATAGGTTTTTGATTCTGATGAATATAAAATGGTAAAGGAAAAGTGATTGTGTTAGGAATTTTCTCTTTTTCAGCTTTTCCCCCTTGAATCCTAAAATGTTTGTTTCAGGTTACATTCTATTATTTTAAACCCAACGATGCATCGAGCTGCTATCGAATAGAATCTATTAATTGCAACTTAAAAGTTAGCTGACGGGTTAACTACTTTATACGTGCAAAACCAATGGAGACATGTCCAATTGTCCATGACTGTTTACTGGTAAATGGTAAAAATTATCGGACTTGCCTTACATTATTCGATCGCTAAGAACATCTTCAAAAATGTTTAATAAATTACCGTGATTTTAACAGCACTCGGAGTCGGAAGTATTGCTTGAGAATCCTTCTAGCGTGTAGGAAAAGATCCTACGCTAGAAAAATAAGGAAATAAAACTGAATTTTTCAATCAATACACCAAGATGGAACCGCACAATGAAAGTTCAACAATTTAGTCCATACTAATGAGTAGATGGCGCAAGAAACTCCAATTTTGGTGCCTGCGCTTGGTTGAAAAACTTCCCTATTAGATCATTCAAGTACGTGGTGTGGTATCATTGAAAAATGAAGGCTCTCTTCGGTTATACGAATTCATTTCCATGAACTGAACGTGATATCCCGCTAATCTCACGCAATGTCAAAATTGCTGATTTTCTGAACCTCCTTTGATACTTTTATGCGAGTTTAGTTCCCTTCCATTACTGGTTTGATACAGTTAAGAAGTATTTGCCTCAGTAAATATAGGGACATTTCCTCAATTGAGGAGCATTCCGGAAAAGGGGCACATACGCGTATGCGCCCTTTTTCCGAAAATGGCAGAAACGGATTCCTCACATCCTAATGTACCAATGTCCCGAGTTTCAGCTTAATTGATCAATTTTTAGAGCTAAGAGACCAAGTTTTGTGAGGCCTTAGTCAGGCGTATTTCATCTTTTCGCCCCTAGGTATGGTCGCCGCAACGCGACGTTGAGGAGATAGCGCGCAGGGCGCAGGCAGGCAGGTGATGGGTACTGATATAAGTAAGGATTCCTCATTACCGATGCATCGCACTGATTCTACTAATCAATGCAATATCATTGGGTTGCAGTGATTTTCTACGCGTTTTACCGGTAACACGTGAAATTCTGTAATTATTAATAATTCAATTTTTAATGGTCTCTTGGTTTTAATTTTTCGATTTTCTCGCGTGTTTTGCTGCCATTTTATTAACGATGATCGAAAATGATCCACCCGCACGTTTGCGATCGAAATTATGATTTATTTTCGTTTAGAAACTCGTCAAAGTCTTGAGAATTTAGCTTTGAAAGCCAAAACCTATAACCACCGGTCCATTTCCGGAAATAACGGCACATAACGGAAAATTTTAAAAAATTCCTCCCACAACACTGAAAGAAGTGTATTTTTTACCAATGGTCGTTATTCATTCAAGGGTGTATGGACGTTGATATGGGTGCCCCAGTTCCGATGTATGTCATCATCAGCGCCCAGAAAGTAGGAATGAAAATTTCAAAGCGTTTTTCTCATAACTTGTTTTTTCGGTATGTGCCCTTTTTCCGGAAAGCTCCTCAATTGTATTTAGCAAATGGGTGGTTTTTATCCGAGGATTAAGAATAAACAAGTGGTACGGAATATAACAAAATAATATGAACTATGCAAAACGATAATCCGGGTATCGGAACTTGGCTGTTTTTGAAAACGCCTTCAATTGCGGTGTGATACCTCACGCATTCCGGAGTGTTCAGATAGTTGTATCATTGCGCCGTAAGAATGTGACGGAAGATTAAAATGGAAATAGCCTGCAAGAACGCTGGGCTTGTCGATTTCCTTCGATATTTTTGCAGTCGTGAATGCATTGATTAATTGCGCTCCAGCTAGAATTTATTGTTGGGTGCATTTAATAGGCACGACTTCATCCGTCTCTGCATAGAATGGGCCTCAAAGTTTAACTCATCACGACTGAAGCTTTCAGGTCCCGAGCAAGATTGGGACCTAACAATGCCTTGCTAATATTAAGTCTAGCAGGAAAGGTATATCATAAATGCATCATTCTGCTTTTTTTGCTTTTTTTCACAATTTTATGTGAAATTTGATTTAAGAAACGATGGGTTCAATAATCACATTCTAGACCATTAATAAACCTTTAAAATCGTTTTCCAAGTCAAAACTATGACATATCAACGTTCTAACTGTGTTCACTTTAACATCTATGAGTCTTTTAACTTTTGTACCGACGAATTGTTTACCATGTTTCTGAGATCATGAAAATGACACGTCAAATGTAAGATTCTGAACTCATCGTTGTGCCATGAGGGAACATACTTTTATTCTCATTAGAAAACTTACCTACCAAAACACAGAAAGAACGTATTTTTTAAAGCATTATATACTTCAAGCCTTGATTTGATTAATTGGGACAAAACAATTTTTTGATGATGATATTGAATAAAAACAACCAAATTTTCTGCAATCACAAGTTTATTTTGAGCAACTCATAATGAGCGTACAAACTGACTCCTTTGTATTTTTACATTCACATTCATATAAACTTACACACTTATGCAACATTTAAAGCCACTCAATTTTTAATTCATGCAACATCTATTCACAAATTAGTTACATATTAAACATTCATTTACGTCACTGTTTTTTCCCAGACTGCAGATAGTTAGGGACATTTCGATGAGAAAGTATACTGATGATTCCTTTTTGTTATCAATTCTAAAACCGTATACGTCAAAAAGATGCTAAACAGAGAATTGTATTTACATGTAATTAATCCTTTATTTTTTCATCATATTTGATAAGACGCAAGTACGAGCAAATAAAAGCTAGAGTTTTTCCTGATAATTTTGGTGGGAGAATTTCACATTCAGTTTTAACTTATTCCTGATGGGGCACTAAAAAATATGGCTATGCCATTAATATGAGAATTGTTCTAAGTCAATAACGATCCTGAAAAAACTAGAGAGAAAAGTGCTTGAGATCTCGCCATTCACAGAATGATTATCTCCTTCTCTAAATGAGGGAAATCAAATGTTGATGATTCAAGGTTTTTGCATAGGTGGTTTCAGGTTTAAGACAGACTTCCGATCTAACCACCAGCAAACCGAAGGCAACTTATAACCCTCAATAGTGCAAAATCCAATCTCATCAAACTTCAAAATAAGAACCTAAGAATGAAGTGTATGGCACAATTAATCGTGAAACATTCACTTTAGAGAAAATTGTTTGCATTCAATTTTGACTTGAGAAAATAGTAGCATTGACACATCTCTCAATAATCAAGTAAACCCGCACAAAAACCTATCTAATAAATTATAATATTGTCCATTTGAACAACGTGATATTCTCTAAAGCAAGGATTTCAACGATTGTCAACCAACTTATCAGAGAACGTTATTCAGTCGTCCAACAGCCCATATTGGCTCATTTGACAAAAGTTGAATTTTCTAATAGATCAATGAATTAAAATTAATAAATACAGTTCAGAATCCTTATCAAGTAAGTTGATCTTACAAGAGTGTTTAAAAGAAAACTCAGTCTATAAAACATCACGGCAAAGTCCACTTATGCCGAAAAAAGACTCGTGGACTCTAGTGAAATCGGAGGAGATTCAATCACGGAGCAATTTCGTTGTCAATTAGCTGAAACGAAAACGAAAAAATTAAAAATTAGTCATCGTCACAATTATCACTCACGGTAATCTTGAAAATAATATCGATACGTCTAAATTTCAAATTGGACATGATTTCTTGAATCTGAAAATATGTAACCCTCCGTCTTGTCATCGAATGGAGCATTAATACTATAATGAACATCAAAGATTACATGGACGTATTTAAGCTAAAAGGAACTATGTCACACGCTAACCCTATGCACTTAGTTTCTTTTAGCATAAATACGTCCACATATCGATGGTGAAACTGCAAAAATGCGTATCTCGGTATGCGGTGTCTCAAACTCTCCGCTCCTATTTTGTTTTTTAAAAGGAAAATGAAGCAACATTATGGCTTCAAGTTTTCACAGAGTATTCCGTATAAAGAAGTGAAAAATCACTAATTTTTTTTAAAAAATGATGCTCAAAAGTTTTCCTTATAGAAAATAAAGTAAGTATAACGGGAAATCTGCAACGCTGAAAACCCACATACACATTTCTGCAGTTTAACGTTGATATTAAATGATTTTTTCCAATTATTTAATCAGTGATGCTGTGCTGATTCCTACACTTCAAGTCGCACTAAATGCTATAAATAACACTAGCACAATTATGGCATTAAAGTTTAATTTTAGGTAAAGCTTACCTTCTTNNNNGGGGGGGGGGGGGGGGGATTGTGATAAAGTATGGCTATGCTACTATGCTTTTTAATTGTAACTGCATGTTGCCTATCTTCTGAATTCACGGCGCTGAAATTCGCGCTCCTCACTGACGATGAAGTCACGATTTCTTGCATGGTCATGTGCTGCATATTTTCTTTATTCAATGATCATACTGGCGGACTGGGCAAATATTGATTATTGCTGAGCATTTAATGTTACGGCAACGTTTTTATTTTCTAAAATTAGAGCTTCGTTTCACCTTTTCTCTAAATAATAATGCTCGAGTCGCAGAACACGTATATACCTCAAACGTCCCTAAAAAGACCGTTTTGTGTAGCATTGATGAATCATTGATTGTGTGGCAAACAACGGCTACATAAAATCTCACAAAACTCAAAAAACTTTAGAGTTTAATCTGTTTCCGCCTTCTTTAGTATTGGTCATCTGCCAATGCGCAACACTATCCTATCGTCGCACAGTGGAACGCGCTAATAGCAGAGGTTGGACATGAAGTTTTTGGTTAAAACTTCAAATTTTGATGTTTATTTCGTTACAAATTCAATTTCAAGGGGTGTTTCTGAATGGCAATTCAATGAAAAAACCAATGTAGCCACTCTCAAACTTCCTTGCTGCATATTTTGGATAATATAAGCTTTCGAAGTTGCCAAATTTTGTCCGGCTAACTTAATTAACTAACCAACTAATTAACTTAATTAATTAACTCTGCCCAGTGTGCGTCGTCCCGTATCGTCGATCCTCTGATGTAAGGGCGCATGTCCATAACCGCGTGAGCCCTAGAAAGCATTGAAATATATGGAGAAGAGGGCTCACGTAGAAATTGAGATACGCCTTCGTACAAAGGCGGATCCAGCAATTTGGCAACACCGAATTTCCTCCATTTAAACCTATGCTAAATAATCGATTCTTGTCAGAGCACCTGGCCCCTCTAAGAATCGATACATTTCCATACGTTTAAATGGAGGAAATCCGGTGTTGCCAAATTGCTAGATCCGCCAATGCCCTCGCGTCAGAGGGACGACGCTATTTCAAAGGAACCTATCGTACCGTGCTGTAGTTAAGCTGAAACTCGGTATTAAAAGCATGAGTAACACAGCTTTCTCATTGATTGAAAATTGCTGCAATTATGGAGTTGACGTATTTATGCTAAATGCACGGAGAAAAAAACTTCGTGCGTGAGACCCGAAGTTGCGGTCATATGGATCCCTGAAGTTTTCGGATCGCGTATCTAAAAACTTGAGGTCCAGCTGCCGAAGTTCGGGTCAGACATCTGAAGTACTCCGATACATACCGAAGTGCCTCGATGTCTGACCCGAACTTCAGCAGCTCGACCTCAAGTTTTCGGATGCGTGATCTGAAAGCTTCAGAGATCCATAAGACCTCAACTTCGGGTCCCATGCACGAAGTTTTTTTCTCCGTGTGAAACTATGTGCAAATGGAATGATGGGGTGCGCTCGCGCTAGTTAGTGCTCGGGCCACAAGAATGAACGGGAAATTTAAAGCGCCAGTGACGTCAGCGGCAACGACGGGAGACACGATGATGAAGGAGGCGGTCTTTAACTCATGAGCCCTGTCCACAAGGCTCTTGTCACATGCCCATGGCTAGCGAGTTAGAGCTTAGTTCTTTTTGATTATTTAATGTAAAATCCCGCTTGTCCATTTGCTCAAAAGGAACTATATCCACTTTTACAATGTTTCTTATTCAGCTTCCAAAAGCACACCCCATCTTTCCACTTACCCATTGTTCCTTTAAGCATAAATACGCTCAATTAAAATTCAAACGATCTAATGGTAACGACGGCATGATTTCTGAGCAAGCTGATACGTACCACCGTGCTTTTGATCTTGGCACACAGCCTCTGTATTTGGCATCGTAACTGGAGCCAGCGGCGCAGTTCAGCACGTACATAGACCCGGATCGGCAAAAGCTGACGGATGAGCAGTGAGGGTTCAACTTGTAAACCTTTGAGCTATTACATTTTCGCCCTGAGTTGACCAAAGCTGGAACAGGGTAATGAGACGTACAAATAAATATCGGTATGCTTCAACTAAAACATTAGGAATATAGGTTTCGCCTATATAATATACAGGACTCATACGGACTAATAATTTCATTATTGTAAAAATGATTTTTATTGCATATAACACGCTATTTCTCAGTCACAGGTTGAATTTGGAAATTTTCAATTCGCTGATCAAAAACGTAAAATTGCGATAATTAGACATATTCTGCCATGCTAAGGAAGAACGCCGTATGAGCCTCCAGACGTTGCCAAGTTTTTCCCGATAAAAATCGAAATTACTGGAAAAATTATGAGTAGTATTTTTCAAAAATTTTAGACAAAATTGTAGACAATTATACGCAATTTAATCTAAAATGTCTGATGATTCCGAGGAAAAATATGAATGAATGTCGTCAAAAATGCATGTTTTATCAATGGAGATTTGGCAACTCTCGAATGTTCATACGGCGTTCTTCCCTAGCACGGTAGTATATTACGGTGCTTCATTTTGTACCTTGTCCACTAGTCTATTAAAAATCAATAGTTTTTGCGCTGAAACAAAGGCAGTAAGGTAACAGGTGGTCGAACCGCCACTTTTCAACTTGTCTCCCTCCTTTTGAGACCCAGTCAAAATTTTCAGCCGAATCAAATATTTTTGCCCACGCGACCAAAATGACCCAATTTCTGAGCAGCATTCAACAGGTCCCAGATTCAAATTTTCGTCCAGAAATTCACATTTATATGCTAATTTCCTCGAGTAATAGTCGTGACGAGCGCGTCGCCAATTCGTGCGGAGAAAATATTTAATCCCCTATTTTCAGTTGCTCGAGTCAAAAGATTTTTCAATCATGGCATCTCGGATGGTACAATAAGAACTTTAAATTCGAGACTAACTGCGAGTCCTTGAAGAAGGGACCAATTTTATTTAATCCACCATTGACAAACTCGTTCATCTTCCGTTAGGTGCCGAATATCTCGGTCCAAACACTTATCGCCCGTTCTGGCAATTCCGATGCTCATTTTTGGCTTTTACGACATTATTGACCTTTATCTCCGTAAGACCAATGAAATGCTGCCGGAATAACGGTATTTTATGAAAGTATGGATTCACTTTCAGCAAGATACGAACCACGAATCCGTAAAAAGGTCCATTGACTAGCATATTTAATTATAATTTTGAAGATTATTAGTTTTAACTTAACTTAAAATTTTAATAAAAAAATAAATAGAATAAAATAAGACATCAAAAATAAAAATCTTGGGAGACCAAATTTATTAAAATTAATGGTTAAGAGAGGCTTTTACCACTTACGAGTCAAATCAACGCGATCGAAGAAAAAATAATTTTTGCTCTTACGATTTTCACAGTGGACTCCAGGTCAAACCACCTCATCTAGTCGTAGTTACAATGTTACTTTCGTGGTAACAATTACCTTCGCCCCGGTAGGTATAGCAACGAAGCATTATCGGAAGCTGACTATTTTTGTCACCGCGCAATGCTGTACAATGTTGTACACAACAATGTTGTTTACTACAACTAGAAAGAGTAGATTAGACCCAGAATCCACTTCGAGCATTATAAAAGCAATTATTCTTTTTCTTCGTTCGTACTAATTCTCTGGATATTCATTTACACGGATCTTCTTCTGTGGCAGCAGATTATTTAATTTGAGGATATTCAAAGCTTGAGAATTTAACGAAAACGAAGTCAATCGAGAGCCTCGAATTGTGAAAGGTGCACATTTCATACTACAAACTGATGTTATGAAAAACGATTAGCTCAGTAATCGCCTGACATCGTTAATTATAACTAGGGGGTGAGCCCCCTACCCGCTCCGCGGTCTGACCCCCAACTTCCCCAAGAGCGCTTCGCGCCTCAGGCGTTATGCGTTACGCGTTATACTCGTATGATTTTATTTTATGGAGTAAGGTTTTCTTCATCAATTAAATTATCAACTGAACTGCTAGGAGAAATATCAGTGAAACGTCGAATCAACGGCCCAAATTTTTTGATACCTCATTGCTTTAAATTTTTAAGAGAAATGAAAGTTGGCTTATCTTTATAGGGAGCTTCTCTCTACATATTAGTTTTACCTACGAGAACTTCGGTTGCCGGAAAGTAAGTTTTGTTCTTATGACTGAAAACCTCCGTCGCCTGAGCCAAAAACTTTAGCGTCCCGAATGAACCAAAAAATGTCCTCCGTGCACTGATCTATTGTTTTAACTTTCGCTAAGAATAAATATTGTAACAGATAAAAATCTGGCTCTACTTACTGGTAACTTCTCTGGTAAGGTATCTCCTGTTGACGTAGCTCTGCGTGGGTTTTTGGGTCTTCGCTGGTTTGTAGGCTTGCGGTTTGTAAGCCTGCGCTGGCTTGTAGGTCTGCGTGGCTTTTAAAGTCTGTGTAGGTTTGTAGCCCTGCTTGTTGGTCTGTGTTTGTTTGTAGTTTTGCGTCGGTTTGTAGACTTGGGGTTGTTTGTACTGTGTCTGTTTATAGTTTTGTGTTGGTTTGTATGCCTGCTGTGGTTTGTATGATTGCTGAGGTTTGTAGGATTGTTGAGGTCTGTAAGCCGGCTGAGACTTGTGAGCCTGAGTGGGCTTCGCAGCTTGTGCTGGTCTGTAAGCTTGCGGAGGTCTGTATGCTGTCTGGGTCTTTTGAACCTGAGCTTGTGTGTAGGCGTGAGCTTGTGTGTAGGCCTGAACTGGTCTGTATACTTGTCCGGTCTGATACTTCTGCACAGGCCTGTAGGTCTGTTGAGGTCCGAAGTTCTTGGGGTTGTAGAATTTGTTGAAGTAGTAAGTGTAGTATCTTGATGGGTCAACTCCTGCTGGTGGTGGAGGAACGTATCCAGCCGGAGGTGCTGATGTCACGGTTTCGGAGGCTGGTGTCGAAGTGCTAGTTGAGTTCCCACTGGAGGACCATCCATCTTCACTTTCGGTCGAGTTTTCGTGTTCAACAGGGGTCGGGTTCGATGGCAAGCCTTCACATTCTACTCGATAAGGCCAGTCGCAGATGTTAATGTTCTGAAACAGAAGAGTATGTCTTGAACTTACTGTTTAAACGAGAGAACAAACAGTAAAAAAAGTTTACTCGTGGCAAAAACAGCATCAATAATTAAAGCCAAAGCTATTTTATTCTTTAGGGAATGAAAATTTTGCTCCCCCTCTAAATTTTAATCGGCCAAAGTCATATATAACATGTTAAAAACAAAGCTTTGAAAAAAAAAAAGAAATATTTTGGAGTTTTAAACTACCATGTTTGCGTCGAAGTTCTATGCTTCAAGATTACACCGTAAGTGCACCTTTAATCGCACCTTTAAGTGCGCCTTTATGTGCGGCCTTAAGTGTCACAAAGATAAATTGAGGCTCTTGTAACTTAGTCAGTCGGATACAAGATAGTGTTATACATTGAAAATTAAAGTTCAAACTCAGATTGACTTGAAAAGGAAAAGGGTCGCCCTCCAAAAAAAGTCTTCCACGTGCGTGAGATTACTTTTGGTTGTAGAATGTAGACGGTCATAGATTTTTCAAACGTTTATAGTTTTGAGCCATACATTCCTACTTACAGAGTTGAAATCAGTTCCCGCGGGGCAAACAAAATCATACTTGTATCCACCAGTGCAGACATAGAATTCTCCACAATGTTCTTTGCCTCTGTAAGTTCCGTCGGGACATTCGGAACCAGAACTTCCGTCAGAAGGAGGTGAAGAAGATCCATTTCCTTCCGCTGAAATGAAGAATGATAGAGTGAATGAGTTCACTTACATCTTAGTACATTACCTATTTTTTTTTCCACTGATCTCGCTTAATTCATGTAGTATCTTTTGAATCGGTGCCGAAGACTGTATTGGTAGTCGTAAAGTAATAATCCTACATGCGAAAGAGAGAAAAACAGAGCAGAGACTAAATTTTAAAACGCACCTTGAAACCAACTCGACTTGAAGCCTCCTAAAGATGTTTACATGTACATCAAAATCCACTTCAGATAGTTCCAAATGGTTTTAAGTCAAAAAAGTTTTAAGGAGCGTGTTCAAAATTCAAACTTGACATTCCAGCTCAGAGTTACATGTTCTTTTCATAATTGGCAATCGCTACATCTCCCTTCCTCATTCCTTCATCGGTTTGTCTCAGCAAGTGTTCAATTTAAAACTTAAATTTAAGCGGTGAATTTATTTTTTTATGTCGATTTCGAGAAATCCTCGAAAAAAGTATGCATGTTAATTAATTACAGTAAATTTAAAAATAGTCATCTTGAAAATAATGGACTTCCACCACTAGAAATTGCCGGAAAAATTTTTGAACTAGTCCCTAAAGGGCGACTTTTGCAGAAAATATTGAACCAAAGAAATACTCACCGGATGTAATTGGTCGGCTTCCGCAAGACGTACTTGATGGCCAGTCACATTGTGCCTTTTCTTCGTTGAAAACAAGTCCAGAGGGGCACTCTTGCTCAGCAGCAATGCAGTCCCAGCAGTTCACGAAGTTATTACATGAGGTATCAATTGAGAATTGTCCTCTGGCTGATTTACAGTATTTTATTAATGGGTTGTCTGTGCTGTTACAATCTTTGGGGTCAATTGGACCAGAAGGTGGGCACGGCGATCCTGGTTGTCCTGGTTGTCCTGGCTGTCCTGGATAACCCGGTTGTCCTGGCTGTCCGGGCTGTCCTGGTTGTCCCGGGTATCCAGGTTCACCTGGCTGTCCTGGTTGTCCCGGGTATCCAGGTCCACCTGGCTGTCCGGGCTGTCCTGGTTGTCCAGGGTATCCAGGTCCACCTGGCTGTCCGGGCTGTCCTGGTTGTCCAGGGTATCCAGATCCACCTGGCTGTCCGGGCTGTCCTGGTTGTCCCGGGTATCCAGGTTCACCTGGTTGACCTGGGTATCCTGGAGATCCTGGAGATCCTGGAGATCCAGGTTGACCGGGCCCTGGCAGTCCTGGGCTTCCAGGTTGACCGGCCTCTCCTGGGTATCCTGGGTATCCTGGGGATCCAGGTTGACCGGACCCTGGCTGTCCTGGTTGTCCTGGACTTCCAGGTTGACCGGGCTCTCCAGGTTGTCCTGGGCTTCCAGGTTGACCGGACTCTCCTGGGTATTCTGGGTATTCTGGGTATACAGGTTGACTAGGCTCAGGCTGTCCTGGTTGTCCTGGTTGTCCTGGTTGTCCTGGTGTGCCTGGTTCTGAGGGATATACAGGTTCTCCTGACGGATATCCGGGCTGCTCGGAAGATCCAGGGAATCCTGGTTGTCCTGGTTGTCCTGGTTGTCCTGGTTGCCCTGGTTCTCCTGGCTGTCCAGCTGATCCAGGTTCTCCTGTTTGTCCTGGGTATTCTGGATACGGCAATGGGGGGTATCCAGTTTCTCCAGGTTGCCCTGCTTCTCCTGGATATACGGGCGGGTACTCTGGTCCTGGCTGTACCGTAGATTCAGTTGATGACGGGTACGGTTGCTCTGGCTCAACTCCTGGGTATCCAGGCAATGGCTGTTCTGGTTCTGGATATACTTGTCCTGGCTGAACAGGAGGGTTTTCGGTGGTTTCAGAAGAACCTGGAAATACTGCAGGATACTCTGAAGGGGTGGTTGACGGCTGATATGGTGATTGCGTTGATGAAGGTTCTGGCTGTGATGTGGCGCCGTTGTCAGGATAACCTGGAACAGGAGAGGGAGTGGTGATTTCACTGGGCTCGAAACCGGGCATCGTGAATTCCGATGGGACTACTTCATTATTAGAATTATCAGGCTGTGGAACTACAGCAGGTTCTGGTTGTCCTTGTCCACCTTGCTCAGAGGATCCTGGGTACTGGTTGTCTGGTTGAACTGGATAAGGATCAACTGGTTGAGGTTGTGCTCCAGCTCCTCCCTCGGAGGGTCCAGGCGATTCAGGACTTGTCTCGGGCACAAGTTGATCGATAGTTGGGGAATATGTAGATTGTTCGGGTGCGCCTGGCTGTCCAGGTGGAGGGTACTCAACCGGTGTTCCAGGCTGAGGAGCTGGCTCTACAGGTGAGGGGTACCCAGTCGGTGGTTGAGACCCACCTGGATAAACTTCATTTCCTGGAGATGGTGCCTCTCCCGGATATCCGGAGCCCGGGTAACCCTCTGAAGGTGAAACCACCTGTCCACCATCTGGCTGACCTTCACCGGGAATTACTTGCGCAGGTTGAGGTGCTTCAGTGTACACAGACTCTGGTGGAGGTGGCTGTGGGTATCCATAGGGTGGCTGAGGCTGTTCTTCGGGAGATGGAGGATATGATACGTCGGTTGTTGAGGGATTTGGTTGTTCTCCGGGGTAAACCACGCCGGAATCAGGTTGACTCGGCTCGCTGGGTGGCTGATATGGAGGTGATGGCCCTTCGGTTGAAGTAGCAGGAACAAGAACGTCCACAGGGCCAACTGGTGGTTGGTATCCTCCTGAGTTATCTGGCTCCTGCGATCCGGATGATGAGTCTCCGCCACTTGGTCCAGTTGCGGGGCCGCTTGGTCCAGTTTCGGGGCCACTTGGTCCAGTTGTCTCGATGGGGGGATATATTTCTTCCGGTGCAGGGGAGCCAGAATCTGGCCCACCTGTCTGCTCACTTGGTACAACGAACACCTGATCTGGGGGAAGCTCGCCTGGCTGCTGTGTCTCCCAAGGTTGTCCTGGATTCACAGGCGATGTCGATGGCTGTTCTGGGAACGGTGATGGCGTTGGCTCTACTGGTTGAACAGGTTGAGCTGGTTGTTCTGGAAATACAGGCTGCGGGTATCCAGGTTGTGGGTATCCAGGTTGTGGGTATCCAGGCTGCGGGTATGACGGAGGTGGATAAGAGGGTTGCGGGTAACCAGAGGGTGGGTAGCTCGGAGGAGGGTATTGTGATTGAACGCTTCCTGGTTGAGGGTAGCCGGGTTGAGGCTGAGGGTAACCTTGCGGATAGCCGGAGGGAAGGAATATGACTTGAGGTGCGGTACCGTTTGACGGGTAGTTACCAAAGATAGCAACTTGGTACTGTTGCAGAATCTGACGTAGCTCTGCTTCACTTAGTTGCCTTGTGCCACCGTATCCGTTTGATACTACGTACTTCTTTGTCCCAAATTCTGAAACAAAAAACGAGGAAAAATTAGATTTGAATAAATAATGGTGCAGAATAAAATGTAACGTATTGAAAACTTCTACACCATTTCTTTCTTCTGTATAGCCTCCAAAAAGTTCTCACAGTATTTTCATCCTTGCCATGTCAAGACAGAGTTGCCCCATAGCAGATATGAACAAAAATGTCCCCTTCCTTTTTTTCGCGCAAACCGCACGGTTGTGCACGTAAGTGCAGGTCTTCGTGTGCAAGAGGGACTTAAAAACCAAGAACTCAGCGCCTTCGTTTCTTGCTCTTCAGAGATTATGTCCAAAAATGAAGTTTTGTTTCAATACGAAAAAAATTATAAAAAAGGGTATTCAGTCAATTCAGGGCCAGGAAAACTGAGGTATTAAATGTCGCCTTGAAGTAGGTAGCTGACAATCACTGAGTTCTAAATAGATTCTACACACATTTCAAGACATAATATAAATGAATCCATCAATTTTATTGGTTTAGCGGGAAGACTTTAACGACTTAAGATTGCGTAGTGACAAAATATGGCCAGTAAGATTAAACGAGTCATGGACCCCCTCAATTTTCTAAGTGGAAATGCAGTTAGTGGGTTACTAATTCGTGAAATTATAAGTTTGCTTTATATGATTTCATTTTACGGAGTTTGTGAGGTAATTTACCGGCATCAGATTTATCCGACAATTTTTTTTTCCTCCACTTACTTAAATAGTTTGGCATTTAATGGGATGAAATTTTTCTTGAGGAAAAATACCTTGTACGTGTATTTTTTGTGATAAACCTAGTCATGAATCATTTCGAAGAAAACATTTAAAGTTGAATAATGAAAAAACTTTAACATGCACGCATTCCAATCGATAGGAGGTAATATTTTTAAGAACAGCGCCAAAAAATTCATCGTTTTATGAAAATTAAAACCGCGTGTAGTTGCAGTTGCGCATGTTTGCAATTAGAGATATAATCATTCAGGCACCGAAAGTTCCTAATCGCTATATTCAGGAAAAGAGCATCCTACTGCAAGCGTATTTTCAGGATGAAGAATGGGAGTCGGCGTGCAATTTGTCATCGACTATTGACCGAGTACGTCTGCTAATACAAACCAAATTATTTTCTTTTTTCCTCAATTTGTTTTAAAGCACAGTGGGACATAAATTGTAAACATTCAAAGGTGAATGCGTCGAAAATAAATATTGTCCGAGGCAGTCATTAATCTTTTGCATCAACAATCAACCGCTGCAAGAAAAAATTTGGAAGAGACTATTGGAAGAATTAAAACTGACACGTTTTTTGATGAAAACGCTGCTAATCTTCTCTGCATTGAGAACCAGTTTCGAACTCGGCATTTTTGCCATTTACATAAACATTTAACAATTGGAGCAAAGCCGCTTGGAGCCGTTAAGAGTCGCTTGGGGCGACGTTTCGTGGAAAAAGAATGGGCACCAAGCTCGGAAACACAAATCGAGCGACGCAGGTCGTTAACACGGGAAACACGGCCCAGTTTAATCGAAATAAGAGCACACGCGTGTGTTATCAGACTCCAGGGGGAGGGGGAGGGGGGATTGAGGAAGTCGGAGGAGTGAAAAAAAGCGTCTGGTTTTGCTAATTATTCCGGCGGCGGAATAAAAAATGGGAGAAAGGCCTTTCGAAGCGTCGGACATTTGAAACGCGGAGGTGCAAAAATCCTAACGGTAAATGAATAAGAGATCGCGACAAAGGACATTCATACTGCGATACTCCGGGATTGGATCATTAAATATAATCCTGAGTATGCTATGTGCGAAAATATGTTTCGTATCCATCATCCTCGGCTCGGCGGCGGCGTGGTAAATGGTGTCTCATTGACCACACTGAAGGAAACGCCAAATATTTGAGCCGAGTCGATTTATGATTGATATGCGCGCATTTATCAATTCCGGTCGACAGTCCTACGCCAGGATGTCTGAGTGTCGATTTTTTATTGCGCCTGGCTTGGTGCTCCCTCGACAGAGGTATGCTCAGCGTGAACCCCTCATTAAGATGATTGTCTTGTCAAATTGCGTGCGAGAGAGCCGAGACGATCATGCACATCCGAAAAAATCCCGGAATGAAGCCTGATGTTGAGTTCTAGGGAGCTAATTCTTTAGTTGCGAGAAAAAACCAATATTTAATGAAAATAATGTAGCATAACTCTATATGGACTGCATTTTGCAATTTGGAACTATAAATTCTGGCCCGGTTTAAACACAACGTATGTGCCATTAGTTTCCCTATGCACAAAAGCGTTTTTTCAGATGAGCAAGAATTTATAGTTCCAAATTGCAAAATGCAGTCCATCATTTTTGCTTTGAAAATATAACTTTTTTTGTCGCCCTAGGTCGTTTTGAAATATCCAAGGAATCACCAGGATCCGTAGAAACATTTTGCCTAACAACGAAACTATTGAAAAATTCCGGAAAAAATATTCATTAGAGCAAAAAATAGTATCTCAAAGAATTTTACTAAACAAGACTCATATGATAAGCTACTTCATGAGCGGTGCCATGAATAGTATGCCGAGTAAGTTTGTAAGTTAGGATCTTGTAATCTTAAAGTCTCAACTCGGCATTTATCAGTCATCACTAGAAAGACATTAGTGTTGACTAAAGTGCCTTAATATGGAGAGTATGGTCACAGTTCGGTGGGTTCGATGGAGACCCTTGCGATATAAAAGCTCCTCTCCACGTGTACAAACTGGAGGCATCAAATTGCTCATCGATTACCTCACCTTACATCGCCAGCCAATGGGAGGGCTAGAAAGGCACAGATCAGCCAGTTTAAGACCTCCAGTTCATACGTGAGGAGCTTTGAAAAAGTTGCGACGACTCGAAGGGAAGTTGGGGGAGTAGGGACTGTTGTTGCTCAACTCCGACGGTCATGTTTGCTGCGTTTCTTACCATTTTCGCCATAGAGGAAGTTTAAATCAAAAGATTCTTCTCGAATTTAATGCATAACATTGGTTTCAATCTGAGGCAATATGCTTTACTATTTATTTAAGTAAAGTTCCTCGGTGAATAGAGCAAATAAATTTTTCTCTGTCACTTCAAATCATCTGTACGCACTTTCCGACCTATATATTTATCCTGAGCCTAAAATGGGTGAAAGAATCTAAAGTGAATCCTTCAGAGACAGTTCTCTCCAAAGAGAACTCGAAATCAATTTACATGATGGCAAACCAATGGTGCAAGGTATCTAATATTATCTCTCAGCCGAATGCACTGAATTTCCTATGAGTTCAAGCCACTGACTCGACCTCTAATGTAATGCAGGGGGAAGACCCTCACAGGAGGGAGCTCTCATAGCTTCTGAGACCGAAGTTCAATACGCTGCAAAAATAAGATATTAGCATGCGAATCCAACTGTCGATTTGCCACTCAGCAGGGGTCTGCCGTAATGAAACCGTATCGACCTAACGATTGTTCTTCACTGAACGGACCATTGTTCTACAATAAGAGACAATTAGGTACCGGGCGATGGAGGAATTCGCCATTTTGAGTTGCAATTAGCAGAATGATCACCTACATTTCCCTGTTCAAATGTGAATAAGCTGTTAGTGGAATGGAATCATCTATTAATTTTGGGACTACACGCTGCGACTGAGGCAGATCGGTGATTGGGAGCGTTTAGGAAAACTTTCTAGCCGACGGAAGAGCAGTGACCCGCCTATCTCCTTAGATGCCCGAAATACCTCCGATGGGGAAGACAAGACAACTAATTTTTTAAACGATGGAAGACAATCACTGCCAGTGCTGCTGTTCTAGGGAAGAACGCCGCATGAATCTCCAGACGTTGCCATATTTCCTTTGCAATAAAAAACTAATTGCTGAAAAAATTGTGAATATTTTTGTTCAAATTTGTCGGACAATTTTTTTCGCAATTTTACCGAAAATACCTGAAAATTTGAAGGAAAAATATGCATGAATCTTTTCAAAACTACATGTTTCATTCGAGGAAATTTGGCATATCTCGAGTGGTTGTACAGCGTTCTTCCTTAGTGGCAGAATGCGTCCGCGTATTCTCGAGCAAATTTACGCGAACCAGCCGAAGTCAATGATGTTTTTCAAAAGAGAAAAATTGTGTTTTTTTAATGACTCGAATGATTATGGATGAACGAGTTCAATAGCTCCTCGCTTCTTTTTCTCTCCTTCTCATTTTCCTGTAGAACCTGACTCATGCTGTTTGAAAATAATTAAGTTTCATTACTTATCATGATGTGCAGATTAATCAGATGGTAGTCTTCGTGGGGTGAATGCTTCCCCATCCTCTCGGCAGATCTTGACCTCATTAGCTTTTCTCCGGGAACTGCATTACAGAAACGTCCTTTTGAAATTGGATTCATTTGTTCGTATTCGTTTGGCTTGTTGCTCGAGATTCGCATTTAACTTGCAAATTTTAGAACTTCAGGTATGCGGACGTAATGAGTCATTAACCCCTTGCTCCCTTCGTATTTTTATTTCCATTAAACTCAAAAAAACTATGATACTTTGATTGTTGAAACATAGAATCAGTCTCTGTACCCTGTATAGGTAGAGGAAGGAGTAGAACATAGGGAGAAATTTCAATACTCTCGGTTCTGAGAACCGTATCCTCGGTCCATGCAACCGAGTATTCAAATCGAACAGAACTAACGAAAAATCCCGGTTGCNNAACGGTGGGTAGAGGGCATCCATGAAGAGATGGAGAGATGCCACCTTCCGGAGGATCTCTACCATGACAGATTCCTGTGGAGAATAGGCGTCGCAGAGCGCCCTAGCGCGCCGTAAAAGCGGCTCATACATACATACAAATAGAACTGTTGCTGGTAATAGAACTTAGTTCTATCACCAGCAACATGAACAAAACAGTAAATCCATAGCCGTGCAAAATACTATCGTCTGAAAGGAAGAACGTCGTATGAACATCCGAGAGTTGCCGAATTTCCTTTCGGAAAAGATGAATTTATGAGAAAAGTTTCCAGTATTTTTCCTTGAAATTTTCGGA